GAAAAGACACAATCTAAATAAGAGACAAAAGGGGCAATGCCACAACAGAACCAATTAAAAGAAAAGTTTAACAATGAATAGTATTAAAAACTATACTCAAACAAATATGAATATATAAGGAAATGGGCAAATACTTAGAAACTCACAACCTACCTAAACTGACAAAGACGGAAATAAAACACCTGAACAGACCCATTACAAAAGAAGACATTGAATAGGTAAGGAAACAACTTCTTTAAAAAAAAACAAACACACACACACATACACACACAAAACCTGGACGACGTGGTTTCACAACTTAATTGTATCAAACATTCAGAGAAGAACTATCACCAATTCTACATAATGTATTTTAGAAAATAGAAAAATGGAATTCTCCCAGACTCACTCGACAGCACATAACAACAACAACAACAACATTCTATGAAGCAAACCTATCTTTGATACCAAAGTCAGATGAAGACATCACCAAAATATAAAACTATAGGTGAATATCTCTCATGAACATAGATGCAATAATCCTCAATAAAATTATGGCCAACAGAATCTAGCAGTACATAAAAAAAAATTCACCATGACCAAATGGGATTCATAACAGATATACAAGAATGGTTTAACGTAAGAAAAAGAATCAATGCATTCCATCACATTAATAAAGCAAAGAACAAGAACCACATGATCCTATCAATTGATGCAGAAAAGGCCTTTGACAAAATCCAACACCTTTCCTGATTAAAACACTCAATAAAATAGAAATACAGAAGAATTTCCTCAACATAGAAAAAAGTATATACACAAACCCAAGGACCAACATCATTCTCAATGGAGAGAGATTAAAGGCATTTCCTTTCAAAACAGGAACTAGGCGAGGATGCCCCCATCACTTCTCCTATTCAATATTGTACTGGAAGTCTTAGCGACAGCAATAAGAGAAGAAGGACATAAGAGGTATCCAAATTGGCAAAGAGGAGGTAAAATTATCTCTATATGCAGATGATATGATAGTATACTTAGAAAACCCAAAAGACTCAGTAAGAACACTACTGGACATAGTCAACCAATTCAGCAAAGTGGCAAGATACAATATCAGCATTTAAAAATCATTCCTTTTCTCTACAATAACAAAGAGAACTGGAGCTAAGAAAAATAATACCCATCACAATATCTAACCACAAGATTAAATACTTGGGAATAAATCTAACTAGAAACACAAAATACCTATTCAAAGAAAACTGCAAAACATTACTACAAGAAACAAAAAGAGACCTAAAGAAATGGAAGAATGTAGCATGCTCATGGATGGGTAAACTCAATATTGTGAAAATGACAATTCTACCAAAGGCAATCTACAAATCCAACGCAATCCCAATACGAGTACCAATTCCGTTCTTCAACAAGATGGAAAAGGCAATTTCCAATTTCATCTGGAATGGAAAGAGACCTTGAATAAGCAAAGCACTCCTAAAGAAGAGAAATAAGGTAGGAGACGTCTCACTCCCTGATCTCAGATCCTACTACACAGCCATAGTGGTCAAGACAGTCTGGCACTGGTACAGTGGCAGACACATAGATCAATGGAATAGAACTGAGAACCTATAAATCAGCTCAACTACCTATGGTCAACTGATTTTTTACAAGGAGATGAAATAAATTAAGTGGGAAAACAAAAGTCTCTTTAACAAATGGTGTTCCATAGCAAGAATATGGAAATAAGCTGCGTTATGCAGATGACAGAACCGTACTTGCTGAAAGTGAGGAGGATTTGAAGCACTTGTTGCAGAAGACCAAAGAATGCAACCTTCAGTATGGATTGGGTATCAATATCAAGAAAACAAAGATTCTTACCACTGGACCAATAGACAGTGTCATGATGTATGGAGAGAGATTGGAACTGTCAACAGCTTCATCTTGCTTGGACCCACAATTAACACCCTTGGTACGAGCAGTCAGGAAATAAGAAGATGCATTGCATTGGGAATATCTATAGTTAATGACCTTTCTAAATTATTGAGGAGTAGTGATGTCAAGTAGAGGACTAAGGTATGTCTGATTCAGGCCATGGTCTTTCCAATTACTAGCTATGTGTCTGACACCTGGACAATAAATAAGGATGACAGAAAAATAAATAGAGGAACAAAAGTGCAAAACCAAAGCAACCGAAAACACCACAAAAATGAAAATTTTAAAAAAGATTGAACACTATAAAAAAAAAGGTAAAACCTAAAAATAAGAGAGGTGCAGAATCAAAACAGAAAAGCTAAAGAGAGAGGGGAAATTGAGATAATTTTAAAAGGAGGATTGAGAGAGGAGAAAAATTAAAACCTACTAGAGAATGGGATGGGGAAAGCTGGGGAGAGAGAAGAATAGCTGAAGATATGGGTAGAAAGGGAGAGTAGAAATAACAACAAATAAGAAAACAAAAATTTAAAAAGCATTGACAAATAACAAAAAAATGAGGACTTAGAGGTGGATAGACTGAACAGTTGATTGCTGTTCTGGTCATTGTTGTGGCTAAGTAGAGGCATCTGGCCAGACACAGTATTTTTAAGAGTCCAGCTAAGATTAGCATTGGAGTATCTAGTCTGATTAGTGTTTCTACTAATCTATTAGATGCTTGAGGTTCCAAGATGTGCACTACCTATTGGTAGCACCTATTCCAATCTACAGGGCCAATAAGAAGGGGGCATCCAGTCGGTGGCAGTATTTCTTCTGGCTCCAGAGGAGTTTCAGGTAGTTTATTTAAGCTAGAGCTCATGTCTTTGTCAGTATAGACAGTGAGTGCTGTCAGAGTACCCTGATGGCTAGAGTAAAGATATAGTGATTGAAAACTTGGAATCTCCAAGAATGGTGCACTCAAGAGGAGGGTGCAATGCTCCAAGAATGGCTATTGTGCATGGTCAAGGGTGCCCAGTGAAATACAAGGACTCCAGTATGAGATGATGTCTACACTAATCCAGAGAATGACTGCAGACCAAATATGACAAAATAAGCCACCTCTCAGAGGGAAACTGTCAGTGTATATAGCTGTGCACACTCTAGGGTCCAGTTACAGTTACAAAAATGGGATGGTCCTGGACTCAGATGGAACCAAGATGAGTTTACCTGATCTCTGAAAGGGTATGGGTGACAAGGAAGAAGATAATACATTTCCTGTAATGAGATAGCCACTGGGTCCTCACACCAAACAAGCAGCTATTTAAAATTACTATGCTGTACTGTTTATAGTTTGTCTTCCATCTATCTCCCTATTCTATGCTTTCCTTCAGTTTGTGCTTGAAGTACTTCTTCATCTTTTCTTTCTACACTCAGAGTTCCAGAGTTATCATATATATCAGTTATTGTTGCTTTCTGGTGTTTTCACTGAAAAAAGGCCTGAACTGTCAACTCTTTGGGCTACCATTTTACCCAGAAGTCTAGATACGTAATTATTTATTAGCAATTATTTTTGTTCAAAATTTTAAATATGTCATCCCATTGCCTTCTTGCTTGCATAGTTTCTGCCAATGAATCAGAACCCCACCTTATTAATAGGATATTGAAGGTAACAGTTACTTCCTTTCCCACCCCAAGTTCCCCTCAAGACTCTTTCTTAGTATTTGGTGTAAGAACATTTGATTATATTTTGGTGATATTCTTTTGGAGTCTAACTTGTACAGAGTTTATTGAGTTTCTTGGATAAATCTATTTTCTTCCCTCCAAGTTGTTTGTTTTGTTTTGAAGTGTGCATTCAAATCTTTAACTCATTTTTTTATAGTTTGTCTATGTGTATAAGGCATTTATTGCATTAGTTATAGCTGGCAAATAGAAAACTCCAAGATGTAGAAAGTGTGAAAATGGACTGTTAATGGTACATGACCTCCTCTAATTTCACCATGGGAAATCATCACCATTAGCTTCAACTCAAGTGGAAACCTATGAGGGTCAGCTATGAGTCAGTTACATTTAACAGTACATAACAGCATAGTGAATACTCACGCACAAATGTGTATTTTCGGCTCTAAACAAGAATTTCCTATTAAATTTCCCTCTTTGAGAAAATTCCATATTGTCTCATCTTCAAATTTCATCCAACAAACTGTGAAAACAAACCAAAATAAAATCAATGAACCTGTTCATAGGGTTTGGAAAACGGTCCAAGTATAGCAGGACTTTCTGCTTTATCCTGGTGCACACCTATCCCCAGAATATCAGAGTCTCATCTAATTTACAGTCCTCTTTTCACTCTGAATATATGTTAATATTTTTTATTATTTTTGTGTGAGTGTACTGTCAAATCAGATCTGACTGGTACAGGAGGAGACTGTCCCTCCTTCCCCGGCTGAGCATCTGGTGGATTCGAACCGTGCACCTCTGGGATTTGTAGTTGCAGCTCCTTGCCACTAGGCCACCAGAGCTCTACATTAATATTTTTTAAAACCACAAAGTCCATGATTAATTTACAACAAATGAAACTTTTAAAATAGTAAGTCTGTCCCTGAAACAAACCAAACTTACCACACTTATTTAACTCTTATTAGCACTCTAGTCAGTACAAGTCATAGTATGTTGTGTTGCTGGCAATTTATTCCTCTTTTTTACATATTCTTAGAGACGTAAATTGTTAATAAATCAAGTGGTTCCTCAGAAAAGTCACCAGTGATCTAATCCCAAAATATTAATGTTTGAAAATCTATAGAACTCAGTTCTACCATGACACAGTGAAATGAATCATAAATGGTTTATTGTTTTAATGATATTTTATAGTCTTCATTAGAAATATATTTATATTTAAATTTATTTCTTGACAACATAATCTAATTGTTGCTATTATAAGTGGGATTTTTCCTCTGTCTTAGTTTCTAAATTATATTTGATAGTATTTGGGTTTTCTTTATTAATATTACTAATGTTCCCTGACACATTGCAAATCCTTTGTTTGCAGTGATAATCCACTTAGGTTTATAAGAATGTAAATTATATAATTTTAAAATAATTTGTTAACTTTTTTATTATCCTGATAGGCTCTTGAATTCCAAATGACTTCAGAGGATATGAAAATAATAGATGGTCTAAATAGAAATATGCGCTATATTTCTGCTGACTTGTAAGTGTCTTCAGTTGATATATGTGCCTTTTGTTTCTCATAACTTAGGTCGGAAGATTTCTAATATTTCCTAAATCGAGAAGATGGTAATTAGTTTGACATAAGTGTGAGACAATAGTAGCTACGAAGACCTCTCAGTTCTCTTCAATTGAGAGTTCCATTCATTAACCTATAATAACCATGAGAGGAACCCAGGTTCCATTAGGATGTCCACACATGCATTACTAACTCCATATAAAGTTCCAAAGTAAATCAGTATCATTGCTGAAATCTATTTCTTCCATGTAGGCCTCTCATCTCTAGAACAATATCATAGACATATATTTTGGATGTTGTTATTGTTGTTGGGTACCATCAAGTCAGAATTGACTCATAGCAGACACTCTGGCAGATTTTCAGAGTTAGCTAATTGCATGGGAGGAGATTACCTATCTTTCTCTGACAGAGAAGGTGGTGGCCTTGAACCACATGCCTTTGGGATTGCAGCACAGCTTCTAGCCACTAGACCACCAAAGCTCCCTTTATGTTTTGGATACTAGAGATAAATTTTTTAATTGGATATTAGGGATTCTCTCTCTCTTCCAGTCACAAAGAAAGGTGACCTAACAGAATGTGGAAGCTACAGAACAATCTCACTGATTTCACATGCAAGCAAGATTTTACTGAAGATTATCCAAAAACGACTGGAACAGCACATCAACAGAGAACTACCAGAAGTCCAGGCTGGGCTTAGAAGGGGTCATGGTACTAGGGATATTGTAACTGATGTTAGATGGATCTTGGCTGAAAGCAGCGAATACCAGAGGAATGTCTATCTGTATTTCATTGACTATGCAAAGGCATTTGACTGTGTAGATCATAACAAACTATGGCTGACTCTGAGAAGAATGGGAATCCCAGAACACTTGATCGTTCTAATGCGAAACTTATACTTGGACCAGGAGGCAGTCGTCAGAACAGAGCAAGGGAACACTGCATGGTTCAAAATTGGGAAGGGCATACGCCAGGGATGCATCCTATCTCCATACCTTTTCAACCTATATGCAGAACAGATTATCCGGGAGGCGGGCCTCTATGAGGAGAAATGTGGGGTCAAGACTGGTGGACGATTTATCAACAATCTGCATTATGCAGATGACACAACCCTGCTTGCTGAAACTGAAGAGGACCTGAAGCGCCTGCTGCAGAGTGTCAAGGACTGCAGCCTACAATATGGATTGAGGCTCAATGTCAAGAAAACAAGGATTCTCACCACTGGACCAACTGGCAGCATCAGGATGGATGGTAAAGAGATTGAGATTGAGATTGTACACAGCTTTAGTTTGCTTGGCTCCATAGTCAACAGTCTTGGCACCAGCAGCCAGGAAATTAAAAGGTGCATTGCCATGGGAAAGTCTGCTGTTAGGGACCTCTCCAAAGTGCTGAAGAGCAATGGTGTCTCTCTGGAGAATAAGGTGCGTCTGATACAGGCCATGGTCTTCGCAATCACTTGTTATGCATCAGAAAGTTGGACAATGACCAAGGAGGATAGAAGGAGAATTGATGCCTTTGAGCTGTGGTGCTGGAGAAGAGTATTGAGAATACCATGGACTTCTAGGAAAACAGATTTGTCCTGGAAAAGGTTAAACCAGGTGTCTCCTTGGAGGCAAGGATTCTGAGGTTCCATCTAACATACTTTGGACATGTTGTGAGGAAAGACCGGTCCTTGGAGAGGGACATAATGCTTGGGAGGGCGGAGGGACGGTGCAGGAGAGGAAGGCCCTCTATGAGGTGGATTGGGTTGATTCAGTGACTGGGATCATTGGGATGGGAGTGTCAGAGACAGTGCGATTGGCACAGGACAGAGCAGAGTTTAGGGCTGTTGTACATAGGGTCGCTATGAGTCACAAGCGACTCGACGGCACATAACAACAACAACAACAACATTAGGGATTAATTTTTTTAAAAAAGAATTCAATTGTTCCAAAATTATCTTTCTCAACTTCTTCCCCTAAATCTGCTCAATTTCTCAAACACACCTAATAAAAGACATCTACATCAACTTTTTAGTCAAGCCAAAAATCTCCAGATCTTCAACAGATTTATATATTTACTGTTTTAATAGTTTTCCAATTTCTACCTTCATGTTTATCCTAAGTAATCTAGTGCTACCGTAACAGTGATACTGGGGGGAGGGGGCTTAACAAACTGAAATTTATTCTTACAGTTTGTTGTTGTTGTTAAATGTCATTGAGTCGCCTGTGACTCATAGCAACTCTATGTACAATAGCTCTACAATAGTTCATAGCAATAGCTCTGAAGTCTGCCCTGTCCTGAGCCGGTCTCAGTGATTCCAACATGCCCATTGCCCCAGTTACTGTATCAATCTATCTCATACAGAGTCTTCCTCTCCTTTGCTGTCCCTTCTCCCTACTGAGCATGATATCCTTCTCCAAGGACTAGTCCCTCCTGACCACATGCCAAACAAAAGTATGTGAGACGGAGCCAAAATTCTGGCTTCTGATTCTAAGGGTGAGCATTCTTTTTGTAAATTCTGGAGGAAAGTTTTCATTTCCTTCAGTAACTGTAGGAAACACATTCCGTGGAGATCTCCATATGTCTTGTCCTTGACTTATGTTGAAGAGTTTTTGGAAAAATACAGGGATCTGAGCCCAAAAGACCTGCTTTGCTCCTGTCAACTTTTTCTTGGTAGTATTGATGATCCCTCCCTCACCTCATTTTTTCTTCCCTTTTAGCTCTAGAGAGATAAAAGATGTTACAGGCCAAACCCCAGGAAAACTCTTCACAGACAAAGCTCTGATGGATTAAAGATGTCACGCTGCACCTTTAATCCTCTTAACTGTTTGTCTAAATCAGATCATGAGGGATTATTACACAATGTGCACATTACATCACTGCAAACATGTATTTTGTAATGCACGACACTGCAATTTCCACTAGATAGAATGTCCTTGGTGATTATATTGAGAACACACAGTTTTTATTTTCTGAAGTATGAAGATCTCTAGACAAAGGATGAAGGTTAAGGGAAAGTAGGTTGAAATCAAAGAAAAAAAATTTTAGGCCAGACCCCAAAATAAATTGTAATCGTTTTTAGCCAAAAGGAGATATTTACTCTTCCTTCATGCTCTAAATTTTAAGACTCTGAAAAAGGATAGTCATTACAACTGAAGAAAAGGCAAGGCATATAATTTTTCCTTCTAGGAGAATTTTAAAAGAAATAATGTGATCAGTTCTAGAATGGATTATAACAATGATGTAACATACCCAAAAGTGTACATGTATACTTTTAATGACATATTATCATTGGTAATATTTTTGTTAATAGAAAAATAACAAGAAAATGGATAAATTGTGCAAAGACAGAAAATCAAGTCACTGGTAACTTCTACAACCAATCAGATACTTTATTTAAAACTAATAATTTTCTGCCATTTTATATGTATATTGTTATTATACAGAGAGGGCACCCTGGTCACCTAGTGGTAAGAAACTATATTGCAAACCCAAAGACACAGTTTGGGTACACCAGGTGCTCTGTGGAAGAAGGATGGGCAATCTCTTATTCAATTAAAGTGCCTCTGAAAATCTGCTGCCAGTCAGCTCCAACTCAACAGCATATAATAACAATTATGTATAGAGATCTCACTGTTCAGGAAGCTTCTTGTAGAAGACACTGTATCTTATACATGTCATCATATCCATACCTGAATATCTCAATAGATTACATGAGGTTAGGCACTAAGAAATTAATGAATTCTTGAAATGGTATGTAATGATTATCAGCAATCTGTACCATCCTACAATATTTATCAGTTACTGAGCAAGAAGCTAGACTGATTCCTATTTAAACAAAACAAAAGCAGTTTCCACTTCTGCTGAATATTCAAATGAAAACCCCGAATATCTTCTTGCTTTGCTGACAGAAACAGACAAGGGAGGAAGTGATATTAGTATATTCAGATTATGTGTCTCTGTGTGTTAAACTTTAGACCATAAAATCTAATTTTGATTCTCTAATTATCACACACTAAAAGTATCTATTAAAAAGTAAAAAATGCAGACTTAATAGTAGCCTGTAGTGCACTATAAATTGTCCTTGACCACATTATGTTTTCTTTCTTCTTTCAGTTTGTCTGACCATCCTAATTATCCATTTCTTGAATAATAATTTTGATATCTGCATCACGACTTCTTTCAGAAGCCTCTACTTGTGAATAGACTGCAGAACACGTCTGAGATGCTGGTGGTGAGAAACAGCATCACTGCTAAAATCCATTCTGCAATTAATCTTCAGATAGCAACGCATTCAAAACTAGCGAAGTAAAACACTATATTCCTGTTGCTTTGAGGGGGAGCAAAGGAGACATTTTTTTCATTAAAAAAAATCCTGCCTAATCTGTTATTTGTATGCATTGTTTCCTTGTATCATTCAGTCCCCAAACTATGATTAAGACAGATGATTAAAGAAAATGATAGTGAGAAAATAACTTACCTCGGGGGGGGGGGGGCGGGAGAGGGAGGAACCATAATGGGACTCAAGATGTCATTTAAAGAATTTATTGTTCACTGCCATCAAATCATCCCAATGTATGATGATCCTGTGCATAACAGAATGAAATGCTGGCCTATCTTGTGCCAAATCCAAGCTCACCCATAGATCAAACGTTTGTGATACATATGTTTTTTAATGACTGACTTTCAGAAGATCAACAAACATTTCTTCATAGTCTTCCTCTGCTCTACATAATATATTCTTCATCGTCCAGATGTTCTGCTGAAACCTATTCAGCACCACAGCAGTAGACAAGTCACCTACTGACAGATGAATAATGACTAAAATAAAGAAAGGGACCATTGCTGCTACATGCTGTCAAGTTGGAACCTACTCATAGATGACTTTCTCCAGCAAGTTGTCAGGGACTGTAAATTGCATGGGAGGAAAGCTACTATCTTTCTCTTGAGGAGCAACTTGTGGATTCAAACTGCCTGCCTTTATGTTATCAGAGCAACTTCTTAGACTACCAAGAAAATGGTATTCAGCAGATAATACCAGCCAATGATTTCTTAGTTATCCCTTTGAGGAACCAGGGCAACTCACTGCATACTGTTAAGGTGAGGCACATATTGAAAAATGAAGACCACCACCACTAGGGCTCTCACTGAGTTGTCCAAGGATCAGAAACCCAGAAAATCAGGAATAAGAGATTACTGTGGCACAGTTAAGCTTGTGGTTGGGAGGGAACATAGTGGATTTGGGAGAAAGGAACTCAATAATGCAAGGAACAGTAGAGAGAGAGAGCAGAGCATGTTCTCTTCTTGGAATAAAATACTAGCAATTTTTTTTTATAATTATGTCTTACAAATAAAAGGAAACTATCTGCAATGTTTGTCTTAGAGCCTTAGCTAAGGGTCAGGCCTCTAAATCATATTTATGTGTCCAGTGACTGTGGTTGTGGTTAGGTGCCATCAAGTTGAATACAACTCATAGGGACTATGAACAACAGATCTGATCCTTGTCCTATCTTGTGTCATCTTCATCATCTCTAACATACTTGAGCCCACTGCGTCAATCCATCTTGTTGAGGGTCTTCCTCTCCTTCACTGAGCCTCCACCTTTTCAAGCATGGTATATCTTTCCATAGAATAATCTCTCCTAACAACATGCCCAAAGTATGTTAGATAAAGCTTTACCATCCATGCCTCTAAGGACCACTCTAGTTGCACTTTCTCCAAGACATGTCTGTATTTTTGGCAGTCCATGGGATATTCAATACTCTTTTCCGACATCATTACCCAAGTGTATTGATTCTTCTTCTGTCATCCTTACACATTGTGCATCTTTGACATTCATAGCAAGTAATTGAAAAGCATCAGGATGGATGGTGAAGATATTGAGATTGTTCAAAGCTTCAGTTTGCTTGGCTCCACAGTCAACACTCTCGGCACTAGCAGCCAGGAAATTAAAAGACATACTGCCCTGGGAAAATCTGCTGTTAGGGACCTCTCCAAAGTTGTTGTTGTTGTCATGTGCCGTCGAGTCACTTGCGACTCATAGCGACCCTATTTACAACAGCCCTAAACTCTGCTCTGTCCTGTGCCAATCGCACTGTCTCTGACACTCC